CAGAAGGCGCTGGGACGACTGGAGGAGGAATTCCGAATTCAGCAGCAACAGTTGAGCGAGGCCCAACGTAAAAATTCCTGATTGAAAAAAGCACACACACACACACAATTCGATCCAGGTGACGCGATGATGGTACGGTCAGCAAGTGACACTGACAGTGTTAGCCCTGCTGACAAACTAATGCGCTTATCACCGTCACCGGACTGTAATCATCTCAGCATTATATATACGCATGCAGTATATAATAACTCCAAATTTTGATGACATCTTTTGTCATGGAATCTTCGGTATGATGAGATTCCATGCTTCTCCTTATTAGCCATCACCATCATATGCGTATGCAGGCCATAAGTAATAAATCCACTTCAAAGTAATAATAAATCGACTTCAAATCAAATCAATCAAACATAAATAAATCAACTCCAGCCGTACGATATATATATATAGACGACGACGCATCGGAGCAGGTTTTTTATTTTTTTTTGTAATTATAAGACAATGGAGTATATAAGAATAGTGCCGGGACGCCTCGAGATCTGTTGTCTGAAGAAGGGGATCGATACCTTTTTGGCTTGACGCACATGATTTGGATTAGCCGGCGACGTTGTTAAGTTTGCCCTACTCTCCTGAGACATGCATAAATTTGTTTGTTTGTTTGTTCCTTTACGTCGTGTATATACATGCCACTGAATCATGACTGCTACTGCTTCTATTTTAATTTATAAGTCATTTAAATTTAGCTTTTCTAGATACATATAGTGTGTAATTTTTTTTAAACGAAGTTAGTGTACTCCCACCTGTCCTGAAATATAACATATTTTCATTTGTCCAGAGTCAATCCATCTCATGTTTAACTAAAAATTATATGAAAACATATTGACTTTTTTATTAGTTACATAGTTTTTTGCTACGCGGAAGAGCTCCCCACTTGATTTATATGGTGCTCTGCATACATAACATGAAGTATGTACACCAGTTTTGTTGTTGTACTTACTTGCAAGGACAGGATGGCGTGACCAAACCAATTAATGAAACCAAAATTAGGGACACATTTTCTTCTCCCAATCTCCCTCCTTAAAATTATTCTATTCTTGCAGTGTAGGTAGTACACCCATGTTGTTTCCATTAATTTATTTGCTATTATGGAAAAATCTGAAACGCTCGAATTAACCGCAAGTTCCATAAGTAATGATGAATCTCTGAATAAATAAATCAATTATTAAAGTTGTCTGCCTGCTTGAAAGTCCCAATTTGGAGATCACCTATACATATTTTTAGGGGATTGGAAATAAGCAATCAGTTGGGAATGCTATAAGAGAATAAAGAAAATCATTTGCTACAGTTTCTCTCAGTTGGCCAATAATGGAAGTCAGTGGCTTCTGTTTTTGTTTTATTTATTTACGTATAGGTCCCACGCTTAGGATTGGAGCAGGATGCCATTTGCATCAGTTTTTGCTAAGTTTATTTCTCTTCTAGGTGGCGGTAAGAGAAAAAGCTAGTTCCTTGCTGGGCTGTACATATACCCTTACGGAGACGGGCATGACAATTCTTTTTCTAGTAGTGAAACAAAGAATCCTTGTGGCGAAAACCTGGGGAAAGGGGAGTGTCACTACCCCAGCCAGGTTCTTCCGTGACGGCCATGACTAATCCTTGTGGTGAAAACCTGGGGAAAGGGGAAAAATGCATCGAGGATGACTAGTCTGAACCTTACTTGTTTGCCAATTTTAGCTAATTGCCATGTTTGTTTAGAACTTGTTTGCCATATTTATTTGTCTCAGACTTTTGAGTTCAGACCGTTTGCGGGGGAGTCTTTAACATGACAGGGTGCATCGATCAAATTGTATTTTGGATATATTAACAAGATCTATTTATTTGTGGCCATACAATAGTTTAGCTCTGGGACGTTTGGTGCACATGGCCTGCCGGCGGCAACATTGAAACTTGTAATATATAACTTTTATTTTTGTGTTGAAACTGAACATACGATGATTGCTATGTATAGCTCGCCAAAGCTTTTATATATATATATATATATATATATATATATATATATATATATATATATATATATATATATATATATATATATATAGAGTGGGTGAGTATAGAGCAAGAAAATAAAAAGATGTTTTTTTTAGAAGGGATGGCAAAAGCTTTGCCGCGATTTATATTAGACGAAGAACTTGAAAGCTTTGCCGAGATTTATAAAAGAGGCTTAGAATGAAAGATTCTGAAACTCCAATAATATCATTGTTTTAGAAATACTATCTTTTTGAAATTACAAAGTTTGATGTTTTCAAACCCCCTATGGGATTCTCAAACCAAATTATTTTGCAAAGCTCTTTTGTAAACAAGAAAATATTGTATCCAACAAACTTTACTGACTGAGGGCGTGTGCTTCTAGTATATATAGCAGCACATGCGTAGGTTGCAATGCCAAATTAATAAGAGCTGCCTCGTTTAGCAAAACTCACCCACATTCTCTGGCTCTAGACTTCACACTGTGTAGTGACCACCGTAGCGCGCCATGTGATGAAGCCGGAGGTACATGATGAATGAGTGCCAAAGATGGACAAAATCTGTCTAGCGCGTGCATCTCGAGAGAGAATAAATATCCAACAAAAATGTATATCTTGACGGATGAGCACATGCACTGTGACGTGACAATATGAAGCTTCTTTATGAGCGTGTACGTGAAACACACAATGGAGTCATGCATGTACGATATGATCACATTAAACGTACATTGCTTCGGCCGACACTTGCACCCAAAGTAATAAGGGTAGCCACACAATTTGTTACAAAAAAAAAGTCCATAAAACCTCTAAAATAGTCCATATACACTACTGCAAAAACTCCATCTCACTTCGGAACGCCAATTCATAATCTTCCTTCACCGTTAGTTTTTCTCGGAGTTTGTGAAAGTGGGTAGTAATAATCAGTCAAGGTTAACACCACCAATTCATAACCGGCGGTGATAAACATCATTACCACCGGTCATCATAGCTTCGAGGGAGGGGCAACTGGTGCAGAGGCGCATAAAGCGGATGTGATTGTTGCAGGAAGAAGCTATTGGGCTTTGAGATCCTTTTCTTTTTAATTCCAAGCGGGATTGTGGCTTAGTAGAAATAACTAAAGCCTACTTCTCTAGGGTGTACCCATAAAAACCACTTGCATCACGCAAAAAAACCGATGGCACCTCCACGATTATACAACCGCTGCTCTCCCCCGTGCCAACACTTGCATTGGCCCCCCTCCTCTCTCTCCAGCGGGCGACCCATCGGTGGCCAGAGGAGCAAGGATCTGATTCCTTTGTAGATTTAGGTTCTATTGTTTCCTTGTTCATCTAGGGTTTGGTTTCTGGCGTCATCAACGAGGTGGCGACGATGATGGTGCATTGTATTAATGTCACTCTAGTATGTCTCTACCTCGACGAAATCCAATCTGGCGTCGACGAATGGCCTGTGATGTGAGTATGGTTTGTCAGATTGACCTATTTGTTCTCTTTGGATTTTGGCAGCTGGTGTGTTGATCAAGGGAAGCGATCGATTAGATTTTAATGTGGTGATTTCGACCTCTTCTTTTGGTCTATTGTATAGCAAAGTACGACATCTCTAATACTCTGTTATGATGGTGAAGGATTGTAAACCTGCGTTTGTTGGATGGTTTCTCCAACCGATGGTGAAAGGTTTCATAGTGGATACTAGATTCGTTGTCAGCGGCGAGCACGGTTTTTGCGAGATTTTTCATAGCCTTATTTGGTGGGAGTGTGTGCAAGTGTATCTTTCGTTGCTATGTTTATAGTTCGATTTTCAAGTTCAATAGACAATGGACGATCAAAGAAAGAAGACGAACGGATAGGGTTTTGATGTACTCTTAATTTATAGAGGCCATTTTTGTGTCATGATGTCCATTTTTTATACTAGCCTTTGATTTTCTTAATATATATATATCAGATATGGGATACTCTTCTGAGTATCTTTTAACAAAAGAAAAAAACACTTAGGCTTATACATTGCACATGCTCTAAGAAGAGGAAAGGGAAAAGGCAAAAAAAAATTACTACCTTGAATTGTATGTATCTACTCCCTTTGTCTAAAAAAAATAGTCATTCTCGCTTCTAAAAAGTTAACACTTTTAACTTTGACCAAATATATTTTATAAAATATTAATATTTATGATACATAATTAGTATACTTTCATAATAAACTTATTTAGAGATATAAATGTTGCACGTATTTTCTATAAGCCTAGTCAAAGTTAAAAAAGTTTGTCGTAACGACTTATTTTTTTTAGACGGAGGGAGTAGGTCGCTTGTCAATGTCGATGGTGGTTGATTTGATTTTGATAGACGGATATGATGTACAGTGGCACACACAGCTAGCGAGGGTGGAATGCATGCCTGCCTTTCCTGCATGTGGCTTGGACGAAGTTTGTTGCGAGCCGTCGTTGCAGCTTCACTTGCGCCGTGGTGCACTGCATCTGCATCCTGCGCGCTGCCGGCGGAGATGGATAGCGGAGCAGAGCAGCCCACGAGCGAGGTGTGTCATCACGAGACGAAGGAAACGAGGACGAGACGGCGCGGGCACCAAACAAATTAAAACAAGCAAAGAAAAACCAGTGTCTGTGTTTCCTTGCTTATTAGGACCGTTGCCAGTTGCGCACGCATGGGCATGGGGTAGTAGTACTCGCACGCAGCAGCAATGCAAAGTTGCAAAGCGACGTGCTGGGTCGTCTCTCACCAAAATCACAGACGACAGAGAGACCCCTCCCCTCGCCCGCGTATTTTAGCAGCCCATCCCAACGCTGCCAGTGCTTGCGACTACATTACATACACAGCACAACACACTGGTGTGGTGACTGGCCTGGCCTCTCCTCCTCCCTCTCTCCACCAGTGGGCACCCAATCATCAGCGAGCTGAGCTCTCCTCTCCTCTCCGGCTCTCCCTCACTACTAGTACTAGCTAATAAGCTAAGCCTGTCATCATATCATATCGAGGAATGGAGAGGATGCTGGCCAGGCTGATGCGGCGGCGGAGCTCCTCACCGCTGCCCGGCCTCCTCCACCAGGGAGGAGGAGGAGCGGCGGCGGCGGCGGCGGCCGCGCCCGCCTCGCTGCAGGACTCCTCGCTCTTCTCCCACCACCACCACCAGCACACGGCCGCCGCCGCCCTGCCGGGTCTCAAGATCAGGGACTCCGCGTCCCAGGTGCGTCGTACGTCGATTCATAATCCTCCATCGTCACAGCCTCAACACCGGTTAATTATGTATGTTTAGTAGTGAATTAAAATGCAGCGTAGCGACGGACTCCCCTGGTAGTAGTAACATCTTAGGCCACGGTGCGATTTTGTTTTCCCGCAATTATATTTATTTACGGCTTCTTTAATTTTTACCTCTGTGTCTGCCAATAAAATAAGACGGTTCATTGGTTTTGGTCTGATTAATTTATCCTCCAAATACATATCTACGTACGTGCAGCTGACTGGGAGGACCCCGATGGTGTACCTGAACAAGGTGACGGAGGGATGCGGCGCCCGGATCGCTGCCAAGCTCGAGTTCCTGCAGCCCTCCTTCAGCGTCAAAGACAGGTAGGTCCTCCTCCATCTCTCACCTCCCACCTTACTTAATTAATTAATCTACTAATAGCGCCCACACCACACGCAGGATCTCTCAACTCCAATCCCATAATTAATTTAATTTAACGCCAAGCAGCTACCCAGGGACCGACCGGGTTATCGTTTCTCTAGTAGTATATCTCTTTTCTGCTCTCCAACTCCAACCAGCAGCAATCCAATAATTCCGCTACACGTGTCAATCCTGTCAGTATCATGTGCGGTGGACGGACATTTTTAGTGCACGGTCGAGGATGAACATTTCTAGTGGCTGCTGGCTGCTGCTGCCTGCTCTGATCCCATCCCAGCACTGACGGCGATTCTATCCTGGATCTGGATGGGGACCTTAGCTGGCCGGTTTGTTGGTTGCTTCAATACTTTGCAAAATATATATACTACTGCTACAAATTATGAAAAAGTTGGATTGTCGCTTCCGACCAATAATCAAACAAAGGGGCCCGCAAATCTTCTCAGTTGTATTTGGCTTATAAGCCATGGTATATCAGTCAACGAACAGTATTTTTCTCTCACACCAAACTAGCAACAGTACCTTCAGCCATGGCTCATAAGCCAAATAAGCCCAAACGAACAGGGCGTCTATCAGTCCCAGCATTATATATAGGCGCCCGTTCGGCTGCCCTTAAAATCAGCCGGAATTCACTGTTCACAGCTGAAGATCACTGTTTGTATTCTTACAAATTTCTCCAGATTTATTCAGATTCCTCCAAATTCCTCCAAAGAAACAGGACCATATGGGTGCCAGATTCACCGGTACTACACAAGTACAATTTGTACAAGTCTGTCTATTATTCATTTTTATTTCCAGATACGGAAATTATCCATATCTGTTGATACTTTCATGTAGTGATGAAGAAGACTGATGCACCTTCAATTCCATCACACAAAAACATGCATGTACACTTTTCAAGACTGAGACAAAGGTGGTGTTTGGTTGCCCCTCCTAAATTTTAGTCGTTGTCCCATCGAATGTTTGACACATGCATGGAGTATTAAATATAGATTAATTACGAAACTAATTGCATAGTTTGCGACTAATTTGCGAAACGAATCTTTTAAGCCTAATTAGTCCATGATTTGACAATGTGGTGTTACAGTAACATATGCTAATAACGGATTAATTAGGCTTAAAAAATTCGTCCCGTGGAGTACCGACGGATTATGTAATTTGTTTTTTTATTAGTATCCGAACACCCCATGCAACATTCTCCCGACACACCTCCTAAATTTTAGTCATATATATATATATATATATATATATATATATATATATATATATATATATATATATATATATATACACACACACACACGTGCTATTCTACACCAAGCTGTTATACCGAATAAAATTTAGTATTGTTCAATAGTCGCGTTTCAATATTATTCAGTATTTCAGGATACTGGGTGTAGTCTATACTAAACGCGGTTCAGTACTACTCAGTATTTTTTCTGATCAGTTTTGTCTTGTGGTGTAGAATATTCTACACCTAGGGTATAGAAGAGCGGTGGCGCGCGCGCGTATATATATATATATATATATATATATATATATATATATATATATATATATATATATATATATATATATATATCCCCGCTTTGGGGGAGTCCGGGGCTTCCAATAGCTAATGGAGAGGCTCAGCCAGCCCAACCATTCAGGTCCGCAGGGCTGACGTACGCGCAAGTAGGGGACCACTGCACCCAGCAGATCAGATGCATAAAAACTTAGTTCAAGCTGGGTAGAAATGTTTTGTCATGACGTTGTATAGAAATTAGTAATTGGATGAATGAAAATTAATTCGTTGTCGCATCTGGATGTTCCACCTGACAGAGCTGACGCATGCATGCATGCACGCAGTCAATCTAATCTCTTTCGTTTTTTTCATTATAATTCCTCAACGAAACATCCGATTCAAAAACGGTTTTCACTGTTGAACTCCTGACATTTTTGTGCACGATTCAAGATCCATTGTGAATATTTTTTTTAAAAAAAATTAAAATTCTTAAATTTAAAATTTTATTCATGGCACGTGATGGTCGATTGGATGCATATAATCAATTGTCAAGATGCATTAAAAAGGTTTTGGCGCTGACGTTGCATAGAAATTAATGGTTTGATGAATAAAAAATAGTTCCGTTGCGGCGTAAAAACCTCTCACGATACGAACATTCCACAAGGCACAACCGTGATTGCCTCCACTAACATAATGCTTTGTCTACGCATAGAAACTTGTGAGCGAGAGCATAGAAACATGTAGACGATCTCGTCTTTTTTCTAAGATTTGAAATTTCAATCATGGCACGTGATGACTGATTGGATGCATAGAATCACCGGTCAAGATGCGTAGAAAAGGTTTTGGCACCGACGTTACATAGAAATTGGTGGTTGAATGAATAAAAAATAATTTTATTACCGTGTGAAAACCTCTCCACGAGATGGACATTCCATCTGACATAATCGTGATTGCCTCCACCAGCATCATGCTTCCCAATATGAGGATGTATAATTAATATGGGAACAATGCATAGAACAACGTATTTGAAATTTGAAAAGTAGCAAGTGATGGACGATCAGATTTATAGAATCAATTGTCAAGATGCGCAGAAACGTTTTTGGCGCCGAGATTGCATAGAAACTAGTAGTTAGATGAATAAAAAATAATTTTCTTGCCATATAGAATTATGTACCAATAATGTATAGAATTGTATAGAAGCCCACAAATAATTATTCCAATAATGTATGCCGAAGTGTTCTAACAATGCATAGAAGAGTGCTCCAACCATGTATATAAATGTATAGAAGTGCACATATAACTGCTCCAACAATGTATACAAATTTGTTGTAATAATATATAGAATAGAATACACATATAGTGATTGACGACATGATTCAAAATCCTAAGCATATAGAGCACATTAATAGCTAGTTTACGGTGATAAGCCCAAATTGTAGTCTTCGGTTTGTTACGAGAGAAAAACACTATTGGTCGTGCCGATAAGCCTGGCTGAAACCAACAAGCGAACAGTGATAGTGCAGTCGATACATTCTCGAACAATAGATATGATTTAAAATCCAGATCCAAGTCGCCAGAAAAAACATAGAAACCACCCTATGCATAAACATCCCACCATCGTGTGGTTGACGGCGAGCGCATTGGTGAGGATCTTTGGCGCCTCTATGTCGCCGGAGCGAGAGCGAGCCGAAAAGCATCCAACTCCATGAGCCGGTCACCTTCTCCCACCAGGCTACCTCATTGCTCATATGCATGAAAGGCATATAAACATATTTTAGCATGCGCAAAAAATCTATTCATGGAACTAATGTCACTATATTAATGCAAAAATCACAACAACATGGTCGCACGACGCCAGAAACCATGCGGTTTGGTCAGCGCGCCCGATCTTAGGGGGCCACGCATTTGGCCGCAATCCGCCGCCCTTTTGCTCGCCTGTGCAGACCATGCCATGGCGGTGTTGATGCAAAAGTGGATCTGCAAACACAAAGGGCTAATACCGAATCGATATCCAAAGCGTGCGGTCGATTTGACTCTCGTTAATCAACAAGGATGAAGATACGAGCACTTTGGTCCCGACAACGATCGCACGCCCGAAGTCACGCGGCCAAGGGGTACTCACGCGAACTCGAGAATCGCCGAAGGTCGCACTGAGACAATGCAACTCGCCGAATCAATGAGAACTCGTAAAAAGAAAAATATGCAAATTGACGAAGTCGCCGAAAAGTAAGTAGATGTAAATAGGAGTAAAACTTGGTTTTGATATTGATTGATATCTTCATTACATTGCCCCTCACTCCATATTTATACCCCGATCTAAAGAGACACAACCAAACACAACTAGGACACCAAGCCCATATCTAAGGAAACACGTGACTCTTACATGAGTCATACTCTAACAAATATAGAAAAGGAAATCAACTCCTATCTATTTCCCTGTCCTTCTCAATTACGATGGAAATCTCACCGTCCTCCTTCCCATCGGCATACTCCCTGTTTCATCGGCAGTAGTCTTCAAGTCTTCCTTCATCGGCATACTCCTGTTTTTATCGGCGGTAGTCTTCAAGCCTCCTTCATCGGCATCGACAATAACACCTCCAACCTCATCGGCAACGCCCGAGTCTAAATCAACCTTTCCATCGACCACCACCACTATATCGGCAACCATCTTTACAAAGTTGGCTTTCATCGGTTATCGAGTATCAAGATAACTTTCCCCTTGCCGATCAGATCCACTCCGATCATTTTGACACGTGCAAAAACGGTGTCAACATGCCCCCCCATTTCGGAGTATAAAACCATTAATGCTCGAAATTTACTCCGTATAACGTTTGCCTTCGCTCGATTACCGTAACTCATTCTCCAAACCAAAACTTGATCTCATTATCAAATCCAATCAAATCTAATCTCGATTCACGCACTTCAAGAAATATCGCACAATCGCCAACCACTCTTGCCTTGATTATGATTAAGATACCAAAACAATAACCCATCGGCAAGATCTTAACATGATAATGTCTTTGTCGTTTTCGAATTAAAATATCCCTGCATCGATACTTCTTCCAAATCATGATTACTTGCCATCAACTCATCTGTACAATCCCACGATTATCGTGCGAACAGTTACCATATCCATCTCGAACCACCTCGACCTACATGCGCGGCGGTATAAAGATAAGTCCAAAATACCCCTACTCCAAGCGGCTTATAAATAGATTCCTCCTAACACTCGTCTTCTACCCTCGGACTCCAATCTTTGACATTTTCTCTTTCCGGCGGGTGACTCAACGAACAAACAAGCTGCGTGACCTCAACCAACAAGAACTCTTCTCCGGCGTTAACCTCAAGTCTCCGCTCAGTTCCCATCTTCCTCAAGATAATGGCAATCAACTTCGACGTCCTGCGTTCGCTCCACTTCCATTACCTTTTACTTTGATCCCCTAG